AAGGTTGCAGCATCCAGAGCAATACTTGTCATGTGACAGTCTTAGCTAACTGAAAGGTATCTGTAAAGTCTCCAGGGCCCTTTGATTATCTCAAGTGACATATTACAATCCCAGAAAAGATTGGGGCGCTGTGTAAAACAGACTGCAATGATTTATAAATCCCATAAATTCATATTTTGTTTAGGAAGACATATCAAATGAATAAAGGGACATTTCACTAGTTCCTGAAAAATACTAGCTGATTTTGAATTTGATGGCAGTAAGAGAGTGGTACTAAAAAGAAAAAGCTGGAGGTTATTTGGCAATAGATCAGTAACATGGTCAGGTATAAAAAGAGCGTCTTAGAGAAGCAGAGTTTCTCTAAAGAAGAGATAGACAGAGGTTCACCCATCTACAAAAAGGCATCTACAAATTGTGTAAAAATTTTCAGAACAAAATATTCCTCAATGGAAATTACAAAGAATATCTCATCTACAGCACATAATATCAACAATATCAATAAAGATTCAGAGAATTTGGAGAAATCGTTCTAATCTTTCTCCAAGACATGAATCTGTGTATGGGCTCAGGAACACTTCCAGAAATCTGTGAACACAGTTCACCGTGCCATCCACATATTCAAGTTACAGTTCTACCATGCAAAGAAGAAGCCATTTGTGAATCTTCCAGAAATTTGCTATCTTCTCTTGGCTGAGCTCATTTAAGATGGAACGAGGCAATGTGGAAAAAATGTTTTGTGGGCAGATCAATCAAAATCAAAAAGGGAGAAGAGATGGACCATCCAGTTTTTTATAAGCACTCGGTTTATAAACCTGCATCTCTGGTGGTATGGGGTGCATTGGTGCCTGTAATTAAACTGGCACACCTGGAAAGGCACCATCAATGCTGAAAGATCTATACAGGTTTGCGTCATCAGCTGTCTTTTATTATGAAGCTGTCAATGGAAAATTGTACTTAGTTGTCAGTATAATCTTTTAATGGTATAAGTTTGCATATGGTAGAATGCTGCATGTAATCTTTTGTGTTTAGAAGTATATAGTTGGTGGCATATTGGAAGAATGTCTCATCCTAGGAGGTCTGTAACAACTTTGTGTACATTCCAGGGTGTTCTGGCATTCACCCCCACATCCTAGGAGCATGGGAAAGGTTGTACCTTGTCTTATTGTTTTACGGTAGGATTAACGTAGCTATGTCAGTTTTAGCCTAAGTGCCCTTTTTTACATATAGATGAACTGTTGGATTTTCCAGACCAGCAGGTTAAGGGAAGTTGTTTATGGGGTCACACTCTGACACACACACACACACATACATATACACCTCCACATTCCAATGTAAGGAACAAACACCCACTGATGTATAAAATAAAGACCAGGGCAGTCTCTCATTGCGAGTCTCTGAGCCTCACTCTTGTGCGAGCGTTCTGGTGACTGCCCTTGCCAGCAAGAAAACTGTGTGTTTCTCCTCTCTGATTCTCAGCTGAAGAAGTGTTTTAGAATAGATCTCTTAACAGAAGCGTTGCTTCATAATAAAAGACAGCTGATGCTAAACTGGTCTCCCTGCATTCCAGACTTTTCCATGATTGAAAACACTGGATACATCATGGAACAGAAAATATGACAAAGAAGATTCCGGACTGTTGACCAGCTGGAATTAAATATGAGACCAGAACTAGACAACGTTTCTCTTCCAAAAGTCCAGCAGTTGGTCTCCATAGTTACCAGATGTTTACAGACTGTTGCTAAGGAGAGGGGAAGCTACACAGTGGTAAAGATGGCCCTGTCCACCATCAAATTGATAATAAGCAATTTTTTCCCCAAATATGTCAAATTTCTAATTTTCAACCCTTCAAAATGTTCCTGTGTTCGACTGTGAATAAAATATGGGTTAATTTGATTTTTTTTAATCTTTGCATTCTGCTTTTATTTACATTTTACGCAGCATCCCAACTTTTATGGAAATGAGGTCACATAATATACGTCACTTTATAGTGCATCTGAATCAGATCGGTCAGTAGCTCCTAATTTATGGCAAAGGAGCACAAAATTACATCATATTAAGTATACAGATGGAAATTAAAAGATGAATTTAAATTGACAAGTTTCAGTGCCAAACCATTCGGACTGGCAGTAACACCTACTTTGCTCTAGTGCTCAGTACCAGAGCCACCCAAGATTGTGTGCTCAGCTCCCTTCTGTTCAAACTAGACACCCATGACTGTCTTTTCAGACATGGAGATTGTGGAAAATTAAGGCCCTATTTGAGAGACGCAGACACAGAGCTGAGATGGAGCAAAAAAATATTTTTCTTTCAAAATATTTTTTTCTTTTAAAACACTCCAGTCCCCATGTGACCCTGAATGGTTATGGGGACAGTCATCACACAATTACACCCTGCTAAAGAAAGCTCAGAACCTGTACTGTACCTAATACTATCACATACATCACCAGCACCCATCTCCTGAGCATCGGTGAAAGCAGTAAGGTTACTAAAGGGCAGCCACAGCCTGTGCTGTCAGAAATAGGGAAGTAACGGCTTCTATACCGGCACATGTTGGAGCAGTTTCCTTCCTCAGGTTCGGAGAATACTAAACCTTTTGTAATGATTAAATTATGTATTATTTGTGTTGCATTGATGTGATGTCTGATTAACAACTTAAGCCTGAAGCATGTGGAAGATGTGTTTCCGGACAGGCTGACCCAACACCAGAGTTTACAGAGAACTACAACTAGCTTTATCTCGAGCTCAGTCTTTAAAACTAATCTGTAGTTTTGCATAACAGCCTGATGCAGTCTTTCTGATTTCCTTGGTAACCTAATAAGGTCTAGTTTTACCAAGCTGACATGTTCTCTTGGTACTTGTCACTTTTCCAGCACAGTTTCAACATCGCTCTATGCAGAGCTGTCACTGGAATGGAAAAATCCAAGTTGATGATTGAGTATGTGTAGGCACTTGTCAACTAATAAAATTACGTGTTGTGACAGAGTAGACAGAAGCATATGCTACAGACAAGGTTTATTTCCTGCACATTCTAACTCACTTCATGAATATAATATCAACTTAGTTATAAAGCAGAGAATGTATATTGAAGTGTTGCATTGATGTCTGGAGCATATAGCTGTCTGAATCAGGTACCTTTTTTATTCTCCTTGTTTCCTAAGGCAAAACGGCTCCATTTTGTCACACACAGCCATGCATAAAGCAATGAGTATCTATGCTGGTGCATTTCACTTGTCATGATATTCTGTCTCTGTGATTTTGAAGCTTCTGATCTGCTGTAGTGCCACAGTGATGGCTGATGTCAGTCTCAGCCAGCTTTTAGACAGACACAGCGCTGCCACAGTTCCTGTTGTTCCAGACCAGTGACTGTGGTGACTGCTGCATCCTGCTCGGCAGTCCGGGAGGATTACTGGTCAGGTTTGGAGTGATGTTAAAGACAGGCGTGTACGGCAGCTTAGTCATATTTTGCTGCTGAATTAATCTCAACCATGAGGGGCTTCCCAGAAAATGTGTGTATCCCGATTTCCACATAAATGTTTGTGGTGTGTATACGTGTATGTGTGTGTGTGAGACATTTTAACACCTTTCAAAAGTGTATAAATGTGCTCAAGCAGATGCTGATTTCACGATCTCGTTAATATATCTCTGCTCCTGCAATCGCCGATTCATCTGGCTGACTGTTGTCAGTCAGGCGTGGCGTGTCCGTGTCTTAGATCTATGGTAATTGAAACCTGGCTGGCCTAATTAATGAGCCTTAACCACTACCTGTGCACTGCCCTGCCACTCCACCCTAGCTGGAAGAAGGAAAGATTCACTTCAGCTAATTACTGGATAACTCTCTCTGGCCTGAATCTTGTCTGTGCATTTGGACACAACTTCTGTAAGAGTGTCTGCTGCACTGTGGGCTTGCTGGGGGTTGCTCAACGGTGCACCACAGGGAGGGAGATGAATGTGGGAAGTGGTGATAAGAGGCAATAGACAATGTAGAACTGACAGAGATAGCAGGACAAGAGAGGGCGGACTGCAAAAAAAACATCATGGCAATGCTACAGCTTTTGTTTATTAATATCGAAGTGCAAGATCTCTCTTTTACTCTCACTTATGCAATCCTGGAATACTCATGTGCTCTGCCTGCTCTGTGTGCACTTCCTGCTTGTGTGGCTATCAGTCTTTCGAGAGCCAGAGGACATACGCTGGTCAGCCAGCTACCCTCCCCACTGTCTAATCATTTTCTCTCTTTCTCCCTGTAGGGTGGCCATTACAGTGAGCCCCTCAGGCCATGCTCCAGCACATGCACACACACATACGCACACACTCACAATAGCCAATAATGAAAAAAAAAAATGTGTTAGTAAGCACACAAATCACACGCGCCCCCCTCTCCGTCCAACCATTCGTCCAGCTCAGCTTGAGGGTCTCTGTGAGTGGGCTTCAGCCCCGCACAACAGCCCCATGCTAGTGCCCTGGCCACATTAGCAGCCTGGCAGGAGATTGACTGTTTGGGCTCGCCAACAGCCTCCAGCTAACGTCCTCCCACAAGAGCTGGCACCCTTTGGATGAGCTGGAATGGCCACAAAGTGGGAAGAATCTAATCCGGTTTGACTCGTCTTTTTTTCTTACCCTCTCGTCCCCACTCTTCTCTGCCACCATGGGGCTTATTTGGGCTACTTTCCACTCTAAATAAATATGAAAGATGAGTATGTGATGTATGTTCACTGGGAATTATTGGATTTAATAGTTGCAGGCAGCAAAGAGCTGGGATAACTCTTTAAAAAACGGCTGTGATGCAGCAGTTATAGTGAAGCCAATTTAAGCCCCTTCACATTGATGTCACATGACAGCTTTATATGTTTATATCCTTAGTGTAAGTATATCCCGCAGCTATGCTTCCCTGTGCGGATTAACACCTGAGTCATTGGCGACCGCCTCCATTTGGTCTGAGTTAGCCTGCTCTGTTGCTATGATCCTTGTCAAGTTGACAACCTAGTTGAAATGTATGATACCTGCATAAGGAACTGGAGCATCTTTATCCAGGGCCACCAGGGGAGGATCCAGCAGAACGATGTCAGTGTTTTCAGTGATCACCCCATGGTATGATGTCTCAATCCAAGGCTTGTGTTTATTCACTGTGGAGACAGAAAGAAAACATATGTAAACTAAAAAGTCTATGCTTCAGCCTTAACGTGCTAAAATGCAAATCTTCAACTAATGTCACCTTTAAAAACAAAACAAAACGTGGCCACAGACAAGTTCAGCTTGAAACACGAGAAAGTTAACATGCTGCTGCAAATAGCCGTGCAAATTTTACTGGCAAAGCTCCTGCAGCCTCCTTTTCTATGAGACCTTTTCATTTTGGCTAATCTCCCCTGCTACTTCTGTTCTTTCTTTTGTTCTTTTCTTCCTTCAAACATTCCCCGCAGGTTTCAAAGCATAGTGACAAAACTCGACCAAAGACCACCACTGCGCTGCCAACACAAAACTGTGGTCTGAGTCAAAACACAGGGTCTTATTAACGGTCATAACTGAATAAAAGCCTTTTGGATTGTGCGCAGCATTGTGCCAATCCACTTGCGATTTGCTTACTATTCTAAAGTCCAAAGAAGAAGAAGAAGACAAAGAGCCAAAAGAAAACAGTGGATCATATAAATCGTTCTTGCTGCCTTTTAGCCAGGCCATAAAAAACAAACAAACGAAAAACACAGCACTTTGTCTGCTTTCGAAATGTCAAGTTTTTGTATGTGGATTGAAATTGACGATGAAAAGCTTTAATTTGAGGTCCCCTGAGAAGCGGTGCTTAAAAAACAGAATATTTTATTTAATGGTGAATAAAGTGCATAAACAATAATTACTTTTCATTCAGTGAAAGGAAAACCAAAGAACGCATGCTCTTTCTAAGTCCTAATCAAGCAATCATTGTTATAGAGCACTTCAGTTATGCACTGAATGCCAGTAAAAGCCACTTGACAATGCTAAAAAGTGGAGTTTCCAAACAAGACAAGTAAATGCACCCAGGCATCATGCTCTTTTAATGTGAGTACACAAAGAACACTTTGTTGTCGTTATGAAACAAATGCATCTTCAATTACATTTTCATTTAATCACTTCCATACAATTTAATTATCTGCTTTCACTGCACTTAAAATCAAATTAACACGGTCTAAAACAGTGATTCCCAACCAGGAGTACTCGGAGCCCGGGGGACACTTCTACAGCTGCCTGGGTGCTTGTGGTAAGATTGTATGAAACTCAACTAATGTGAATTTGATGTGTTTGCGTGGGGGTGAAAAATCACCATCGAAATAGGATCAAAGTTGAAACAGTCGTGATCAGAAGTTATAATCATGCTAATCTGTAAGCTATCAGATGGAGCAGATCTTCAACCCACAGGAGTCAATTATCAGTTAGCTTGTTAACATCAAAAATGTTAGTTAAATATTATTATTATTATTATCATCATCATCATGATAAATGGTTGGTATAATTATATACAAGTGGTGGATATGACAGTGCTATTAGCTAAAAGTGACTGCCACAAAAGTCAAAATTGTTAGCTTAAATGGCTTGAACAGTCAAGGGAACAGGTAAGAGGAAAAGGGGAAATAGTTTTGTAAATGTAATAATGGTTCAATTAGCTAAAAGTAACCAAAATAAGGAAATTATGAAAACTGAAAAATAGACTGATGAAAAATGGTTCAAATTACTAGCTAAACATAATAGCGTCATAATGGAACTTGCCAAAAGCAATAGCTGAAATAGCTAAACGTAATCCATGTAAATTAAGTGTTGAAAGAGCAAGTTTTTATCACTTCAGTACTTAACTTGATATTTAGGCACAAGTATTGAAATTATATTTTCACTTAATGTGAGTAGCAGAAAAAAAGGTAATGAGACTGGGGAAATGCATGTTAGCACCACAGGGATGCATATTCATGAATGTCACCCCGCAAAGCATGGCTAACAGCGCTGATACAATCAGTCTCATTTACAGGGAGACAGAGATGGGAACATGTTAGTGTATTTGGGCGTGATGAACATGCATGAGGTTGTGACAACAGTTAGGGGTAAAACTTTTTTTTTTCACAGGATTTCATCTTTAAATGTCAAACTGTGTCATGTTGGGAATGAAAATCTTGCTGTTGATGATGCACGGGAATATCAAGTAGAAGCATTATTTGAATGTGTTATCACGGTGCCTCCCAGACATACAAAAAAAAAAACACTCTTGAGAGGCTTTTTTTTCCCAAAGCAATCTGTTGTTGGACTGTTACAGAACAATTAGCACTCTGTTGCAGAAATAAACCAGACAAAATCAACTGCTTTAGCAGGGCCTCATGCAGGCAAATCAAAAAATAAGTGAGCTGTAAAAGATGACGAGAAAAAAGCTAAAATTATTCTCCAACTTGGTACGAGTGCGCAACCCCAATAAATGTGTAATACAGGGCATAATACTGTTTGAGTACAATGCATGACAGCTAATGAGGGGTCTAGAGAATAGAAGGGGCTTGTCATCGGCTTCATATTCAGTCTTCTCACAGTTTAGATGCCCTATTGATCTTTTAATCCTTCCTTCTCGGTTTCTGCCACTCACCATGACTACTTAGCAGTGTCACGCTGACCCAAAGGTTCTGTTCAGCATTATCAAAATTTTCCCCTGTGAAAGCATTCCAACCTGGCCTCACTCCCAGCTCGTCACATAATGTTGCTTGTGATAATTTTTCGACTTGGGTAGTCTGTGCAGACCTTTGTGTGTCACCCTAGCTGATGTCGTGACCGCTATGATAGAAATGAGCATGATTAAGCACAACCATCCTTTTTTCCTAAACTGATGCACATAGCTCTGTTGTTTTAATTGGACATACCAATAGCCCATCCACATGCCTTCCAATCCATCCATCCATACGTACATCCTCTTCTGCTTATCCATTAGTCCATAGGTTTTTGTACATCATCATCCTTCAAGCAACTGTAGTAAAGTTGTATCAGGTGCATTGAATGTGTACTGTAACTAGGGCTGCCACAAACGATTATTTTGATAGTCGACTAGTCACAGATTATTTTTGCGATTAGTCGACTAATCAGATCATGCATCCATTGGATGTAAAACGTACAGCTTATTGCACCAGCATGCATCTGCTCTTATATAAATATCATTAGCTTACAGCTTGAAGTGTTTAAGGTATGTGCTAACTAAAAATAAAGACAAGATGATAGTTTATTGCATTTTAATAAAATTTACAGATTGTTTCAGTGAAGTTTAATAAACTCCTTGCTATCTAAAATATAACAGGACACCGGAGTATATTCTCGAGCATCTCACACTTCTGATAATCAGTTGACGTTTATTCAGCTGTGTAAAAACTATAACTTTATTTCTCAGCCAAACCGATTTACTCAGGAACAAATAAATAATAAAATACTACAAAAAAAGCCAAACAATAACATTTGTAAGTTATCTAAGTGACTTATATTACATGTTTAACCTGAGTAGCGAAAGACGGCGGTGGCTTTGAAAACGATTTGCCGGGAGTCCGGTGCTCTCACGGGATCTAGTGAGCCTTGCCCCCGGCTAGCTATCGAGCTAGTGGGTAACAGACGTCTCCGAAAACGTCGGAGCACTTTTGAAAATATGTGGTGTCTTGATAAACTGAGCAGATATTTGAGGTTTACACAGTTACATTCTCGCCTGAAAATATGTTAAGCTTTATTTTGTGACCTAAAAAGAATAATAAGAGTAATATTAAAACTAACTAGCTGCAGCCATTGTTGGAAACTGTGCTGGGCCGCGCTATGAATTCTGGGACACAGCTTCTCCTTCTTCTTCGGGGTTTAACGGCAGCTGTCATCCTTGTACATGCAGTGCTGCCATCTTCTGTTTCAGTCCGTTATTACACTCTTAAATCCTACTACTTATTCCTGCGGCTTTTGTGATCTTACAAAGCTTCAAACGATTAAATTAGTCGTCGACAATTTTGATAGTCGACGTAATCGTGACTAGTCGACTAATCGTGGCAGCCCTAACTGTAACCAAGTCTTAGCTTGTTAGAATTAAGAAAATGCCCTTTCAAAAACTTTAAAACAATACGTTTTTCTATTCATAAACTGCAGTACACAGTGATTATCGGTGTGAACATTGCAAATTAGTTTATTAATATCACACTAATGGTGTCCTTTGTCATATCAAGCATGTGCAAAGTGGACTGTTTTTCCAGTCGGTGTGCCCAAGCTGCATTGGCATTGAGGGTTAAATCCATCTTAAAGTCTCACTGCTCTCAGTGTGTGGGATGGAATAGTTTTTCAGCAGAAGTAATGAGACCATTAAAAGAGACTCCACCTCCACTAATCGCCACAGTATCTCAATGGGAGTACCACCTACGCATTAACCCCCAATGACAGCTCATGTATTCATTGGTAAGAAATATGATGCTGGCACCACTTTAGCAGAGCGGGGTCCATGTACTGACAACTTGAGACAAGACCCTGAGTCAGTGCCACAAAATGTATGATATGTTTCTTTATCCTTAGAAATAATGCAGGACATCAGAAGTCGAGAAGCGGTAGAAGGGAGGGCGTGCAGGTGGGGGGAGAATTGAATGAGCCGGACGATCAGTCCCAGAGATTCCCAAAGGAAACATTGCAGCCGATTAACACAATCGAACCCACGGCTGCAAGCACTAATGCCTTGAAACCAAGTGATTAGCCACATACTCATCAATGGTGTTTTGTATCAAAACTACACACGGTTAATCCGCTAATCAATCTGAAATGAACATGAATCTCAGCCAAAGTTGTCTGCAGTTTCCCCTCTGCAGGTAGAAAGAGAACAGTTGTTCTCTTCGCTAAAAGGCTTCGAGCTTTTATGTACTAACGACACACCAGTGAGATTGCTCTTTTCGACATCTGATTGAACTGTGTGGTGCTGTGAGGCCTTCAGGCTTCAGACAGACTATAATAAGATGTGTGCTTAAAAAAGGACCAAACAAACATGCCCACGTGTGAAAAAAACTGCACTTTGAGTGACCCCAATTTTTAAAAGCAAACAACTTGAATGGCTACTAAAAGCACTCAGTAAATGGCATGTGATAACCTGTGTTTGTGAATGGAGGAAGGTCAATTTGCCAGCATCTCG